AATCAATGCACCGCTACAAATCTGCTTGTTTTTTATGTACCAATCTGAAGCTCCGCCCACATGTCCAAACATGGTCCTTTCTGGTCCCAACAGAATAAAAGACAATGAGAAGTCAGTCTAACATACAGTCCTCAGGTTTGTTAATCATCAAGAGTGGGTCTAATGAATCATGGCAACAAAAAGCAGAACTTGCTTCGTGTGGGCTTTGGGTCCCAGCAGTCTGAGGGAGGCTGTGGGTTGTTCCATGTCGGGCCTTCCGTTTTCCTGTTCTATCTGGATGGGCGAGTGAGTTGGGGTCCTGTTGCACATCAGAGTTTTAGTGTGAGTAAGTCAGCAAGTGAGCAGCGTCTCGTTTTAGCTCGCTCCCCTCTCTGTTGGTGTCTGCGTCAGCCAGAATCTATCTCTGGCAGCTTGCTCATCCTCCTCCTCCACCCCCGTACACAATCGCACACATACACACACCCTCTTGTGCATGTGTGTGCAACTTCCTTGGGTTTAGGAGCTGCTTTACCAAAGAAGTACTTCCACAAAGTAAAAACCCTAAAATTAGAAGACAACTGCTGACATCGTCCCTCAACAACAGGACCATCTGGTGCTGGAAATAAACACTGAACCTTCGTAGAGCATCTGGCTCTGATTCCTGGAAGAGTGAGTCTCAATTAAGTCCACAGTGGTTCTAACTAGTGAGTCAATGAGCAAATCAACCGTCCATTAAAGTGATTAGATGCTACAACTCCAATTTGACCCGAACTAGGGGGAAACACAAATAAAACTCAAAAAACTGAAGGAACTGGAACTGAAAGGGCTGCTTGTAGCTTCGTTCACTGACAGCTTCCAGCTCGTCTTCACTGGCTAGCTGCTCCATCTGTAGTATTTATAACTGTTATTGATCGAGACAGATTTAGCTAAGACGGAAATGCGGCACTTGAGATTTAGCAGGAGACTACAGGAAGTGTGTTTGGTTCGTCACGGTCACTAGCAGACAGAATGAGGCAGTTGTACGGCCATTGCCTGCCTATTTCTTTTTTTACCTGCCTCATCATCATTCGTGCTCCATTAAACTGTAAACACAAACATCACTGTGCATTAAAAGGCCCCTGCAGTCAGCGCTCCATCCCCTACGAGTGACAAACATGTCAGCTTTAACGGTCTCTGCACGCTTTACCATGAGTCACCCGATCAATCCGAGCCGGTGTCCTGACTTCCTGTAGGAGGCTACTGTGTGAACACAGAGCTGCTGGGGCCTTCTGTTTAGGCTGTTGATGGATGACTAATCGTCCATCTAAAGGGCTCCGGGTTTGACTGAAGACTCCGGGCGTGCAGCCAACATACTGCCGAAGCTGCCATCAAGCGGTCTACTTCCAGGGAAACTGCAGGTGGTCAATCACCAGGAGAAAAATGCACACATTTATGGTGCAGAGAAGGAAATGAAACTCAATGTGCATGAAGGGTAGGGGGGGCTTTCCAATGTTATCCCCATGAGTGGATTCAACTGGATGTGCGAATGTAACACTGATATTTGCACAAATATAGCTGCTGCCGTTGGGTGGCGTAGCGATAATTACTGTGATTATGTGGAAAAGCAGCGATGCAGCTGCTGTAGGTATGGGCCTCAGTTCAGCACCATCGGCGGCTTTAATCACAGGAAGGCGACTCTCTGCAGCTTTCACCCGGTGTTTACCTAACTGCTACTGACTGTAAACTTCTCACTTCGAATCTGTACAAGTCCGCAGCAAACACACACTATTTTATAAAGTGACTAGATAAACCGACAGCCAACAAGCCTTTCGTCAACCATGGCTGTAATCCACATCAGTAAACATGTCAGCATCATCCGAGTTACATCAGATTTGACTGTAAAGAGCTGTGTAACCTCACAATTATGAATAATAATAACAACCTTTTCTCTCAGTGGGGGACGACAGATTAATATAAACTAGCAACAACACGACCATCGCAAAGTCAGATCATTTCAGCTCTTCCAGCTTTTAGAAAAAGGCTCTTCAGCACCCGGTTGTTGGATAATGCCTCCCACCTGCAGCATCTTCTAAACACCATCCGCTTGACTTTGTTTTAACCTACAAATTTAAATGTGCAACACTGGACATGAAATAAAAACAATCAGCCAGATGTTGTTTGAGTTTTTACTATCAAAATTGGGCTAATCCTTGAGATTTTAATTGAACACATTGGTTAATTATTAGAATAAGCCAACAAAATGTGACTAAACCATTAGAGTTGTGATTTTATGACTGTAGATGGCATTTTGAAATCAATTTGGTAACGTAATCAGCCATTTGTGTGGCCAGTGAAAGGTTTGTGTTTATTCGTTATTTCAGCAGCTGCAGCACTAAAACGTCTCTGTTTAATAGAACTGCTGATTATTTTCTTGAGTCAAAAAACTCAGACTTGTGAATTATCAGAACAGAGTCAAGGTGCTTTTGTCTGAATGAAGCACTGAGGCAGTTTTTGGCTTTTCCTGATAAAAATTGTAGAATATTTGAAGTTCTAATCAAGTCTTCATAGCTAAAAGGTTAATCTCAACCACAGAGTGGATGAGGAAGATGTTTTAAAATGATCTAAGCCTTTTTGAAGTCATGGTTTGACATTTTTAAGTGGGACCACACAGATCATGTGCATTGTTTATTTAACCCTCTCCACTAGATTTAGCATCTACTGTGGATATCAAAAGTCTACACCCTCCTGGTAAAATGTCAGGTTCCTGTGTTGCACAAAACTGAGACAAAGATTTAAAAAAATCTGAACTTTTACCACTTTTAATGTGTCCTAAACTGTACCACTCAATTGAAAAACAAACTGAAATCTTTTAGGGGGAAGGAAGAAAACCAGAAAAACTAAAATAAAGTGGTTGCATGAGTGTGCACACCCTTAAACTAATACTTTGTTGAATCACCTACTGGTTTATTAAAGGAATCAGTCTTTTAGGGCATGGGTCTTTCAGCATGGCATATTTTGACTTCTGAAGATTTGTCCTCTCTTCTTTGCAGAAACATCTGTCAGATTGGGAGGGCATCTCCAGTGCACAGCCCTCTTCCGATCCAGGTCTGGGCTTTGGCTGGGCCATTCAAAAACTCATCTTCTTCTGAAGAAGCCATTCCTTTATTGATCTGGGTGTATGCTTTGGGTCATTATCATGCTGGAAGATGAAGTTCCTCCTCGTGTTAAGCTTCCTATCAGAAGCCTGAAGGTTTTGTGCCAGTATTGATTTGGAACTGTTCACAAGTCCCTCTATCTTAACTAAGGCCCCCGTTCCAGCTGAAGAAAAAAGTTCCAAAGCATGATACTGCCACCACCATGCTTCACTGTGGTTATAGTGTTCTTTTGGTGATGAGCAGTACTGTTTTTGTGTCAAACATTTTTTTTTTTTTGTAATTATGGCCAAGTTCCATCATGTTTTCATCAGACCATAAAACTTTTTCCTGCGTGCTTTAGGGAGACTTCAGATGGCTGGATGTTTTTCTTCATACGAAAAGGTATTTGCCTTGCCACTTTACCCCATCGCCCAGACATATGAAGAATACGGGAGACTGCCGTCACATGTACCACACAGCCAGTACATGCCAGATATTCCTGCAGCTCCTTTAATGCTGCTGTAGGCCTCTTGGTAGCCTTCCTGACCGGTTTTCTTGTCTACTCATCAATTTTGGAGGGACGTCCAGTTCTTGGTAATGTCACTGTTGTGCCATATTTTCTCCACTTGATGATGACTGTCTTCATTGTGTGTTTAACATAATTTTGAACATGACTGCTTAATTCTGAACACAGCTACATCTCCAGTTAAGGGTGTGTACACTTATGAAATCACACTATTTTAGTTTTTTTTTGGTTTCGATCCCTCCACCTAAACGATTTCAGTTTTTTTTTTTTGTTTGTTTTTTTCTCAATTGAGTGGAACAGTCTAAAGGTCACATTGAAGGTGATAAAAGTTCTGATATGATTTATCTTTGTCTCATTTTTAAACAGCACAGGAACCGGACATTTTACCAAGGGTATGTAGACTTTTGATATCCACTGTAAAGATTGAAAATGATGAAATTTTGCTAAACAAGTCTCTGTGAATGAGGATGTCTCAATGCAAAGGTTTTCTCCTAGGCACGGGGGTGGACTAATCATGTTTTGAGGTGGAAATACGTGTCAATATTTCACATCACATTCAGGGCTGAGTGTGAGAAGAAACAATAAGGAGCTGCTCACAGATGAACGTGGCTCTTACACCATTATCTAAATCAAATTTAAGCACATTCAAGTACTTCCCAGATGAGTTTTCAAGATTTTCCAGGACATGAATTTGATGTTTTTTCACACATGAAAAGTTCATGTATGATTCAGCTTTATAGTTGTGTAAAAGAATATTATATTTCTAAATCTTGAAAATACCGCATTTTAATTCAAGCATTTCCAAGCACCTATAAAAACCCTGCATACGTAGAACAGCAGACCTGCCTTAAGAAAACATCTGATCATGGGCTGCAGCCTCATTTTCCTCTTTGGTAATCAGCCACAAATGCACAAACATGGCTGATAAATGATCATTTGACAAATTTCAGCTGATTCAAGGACCTTGACCCCTTCAGCACCAGGAAGGAGGCAGCCAGGATTATGGAAGATCCTTTAATGGTGGACATAATCTGCTCCAGGTGTTCCGATCTGGCAGGAGGCTGAGATCCATCCCACTGTATACGTTTGAGTCGTTGCTGCTTCTGCTTTTGTGTGTCCACCCCATAATATTATTTATTTATTTATATTAACAACCGGTTGCCATGTGCCCTTTGAAGACTCTGATATGAAGCACACAGCTTCCTACTCCAAGTGCCAAAACAGATTCCTTGTAGTTACTATCTGCATCTAGTTGGCTTTAAAGTTTAGTTAAGTTTATCGCCCTAAACTCTTAAACGCTTTTTGTAACCAATCTGAGCATTTACTAAACAAGTATCAGCGGACATAGCTTTAACCGCTGGAGTTCTGAGTCTAGGATGTACCTGGCCAGGGCCTGGACTTTAGCCGCATGTCTCTCTTCCAGCTCCAACAGCTTCTTCTTCTGTAAATCCGTTTCCTGCCTCAGGCCTGCTGAGTGCTCCATCTCTCCATCCAAAAGGCTGCGTAGAGACCTTTAAAACACGCAAAGCACATCACACCCGTGTTGACGTGCAACATACAGCAGGTTTGTGTCACATCGGGTTCAGGTGACAGCGCCCGTCTCACCGAGACGTATTCCCCGACTAAACGACGGCCTTCTGGTGATGTTGTTTACATAAACAACAGATTAGATAAATGCCACTTTAATTGCTGCTCTAAATGAGAAGATGAGTCACAATCAACTGTAATGTGAAACACTTCATCAACACAAATCTGTGGCTGCATCATTTTTATTACCCTGGGTGGAAATCAGAGTTTATTATTAAAATCATAATGCTGCTTGGCAGAGTGACATTAATCCTGATTAACAGCATAGGTGCATTAATATGATACTTTCTGGAGTCGTTCCAACTAGATTTTATTAATCTGGCTTGGAAATTTCACATTTCAGCAAGCATTCATCTGTGGAGGCTTGTTTATAAAGAAAAATGAAGGTGAATGACAAAAGATTTCTAGAAAACCTGATTTGGCTTCAATAAATCATTTCACACAGAGCTTGTTTCATTCCCCCAAATAATCCATCTTAGCTTAAAAAAATATGAAATTCTGAAAAGTGAAAACAATGAAAATAAGAAAACAGTGCCTGTGTGTGTATTAAAACTGACTCAGCTAGAGAGAGAGAGAGAGAGAGAGAGAGAGAGAGAGAGAGAGAGAGAGAGAGAGAGAGAGAGAGAGAGAGAGAGAGAGAGAGAGAGAGAGAGAGAGTGCGTGCGTGCGTGTGGACATACGTGTTCTGTTCTTCCAGCTCGTCCTTCCTGTTCATCATGGCGACGATGGCCTGACGCAGCTCCGCTGAAGGGACGGAAACCCAGAGGGGTCAGATGCATTCAGCGGTCATTTATAAAAACAGGCATTAGCTAGGAGCACTGATAGGGTGCTGTATTGGGTTGGCCTTTAAATAACAAAAACAGTTTTGATGTCTTCACTGCTTTGCATTTAAACGACGATGCCAACAAAACTCAGGAAGGTAGCAACATGCAGAGAAGTTGGTGGAATACGAGACACACCCTCCAGAAAGATCCACTTGTGTTGTTACACGTGTGTTTGTGGCCTTTTGCTCAGCAAGCCTTTCGTTTATTCCATGGATGTGGTTTTTAAACATCATGTCAGGTGAGCTCATAAATAAGCTCGTCTCTGGAGAACACAGACACCGCTCTTTAGCTCAACAATCTGTAAAATGGCTGGATCATGTCTAATTTGGAAAATCAATCCTGGTGTGAAGAAAACCATGATGCTGCTACACTCTTGTTTCTGCCTGCTGAGAAGACCTCTGTGATTCTACCACCTCGGCCCAGGACTCTACGTCTGTGTCAGGTTGCAGAGATAGAAGATCCCACTAGCGTGATGGTAGGCGTGAGGCCGGTGTGCAGCAGCCATAATCTGGTGTGCCATCATCACTGCAACATCTTTAGCTGTAAGGTTCTTACTTATTCCTCCTAGGTGGGCCAAAATTGCTCCTGCATCAGTGGTGAACTTATAACGGCTTCAGTGTTTTCTGGGTGTGACCTATGGTATCCTACTAGTAGGAGGTGTCCGGAAAACCAAAGGACAGCAATGGGATGCATCCTAGGCAGAAGCTCAAACCACCACAGATTCATTATTTTGATGTGGAGGAGTTAGATATATATATATATACACACATATATACCCATATACCCATATATATATATATATATATACACACATATATACCCATATACCCATATATATATATATATATATATATATATATATATATATATATATATACACCCATATATATATATATATATATATATATATATATATATATATATATATATATATATATGTATATATATATATATATATATATATATATGTATATATATATATATATATATATATGTATATATATATATATATACACATATATATATATATATGTATATATATATATATACACATGTATATATGTATATATATACATATATATGTACATATATATACATTATATATATACACACACACACACACACATATATATATATATATATATGTATATATATATACATATATATATACGTATATATATATATACATATATATACAGGTGCTGGCCAGTAAATTAGAATATCATCAAAGGTTGAAAATATTTCAGTAAATCCATTCAAAACGTGAAACTTGTACATTATATTCATGCAATGCACACAGACCAATGTATTTCCAATGTTCATTACATTTAAATTTGATATTCATAAGTGACAACTAATGAAAACTCCAAATTTGGTATCTCAAAAAATTAGAATATTCTGAAAAGGCTGAATATAGAAGACACCTGCTGCCACTCTAATCAGCTGATTTACTCAAAACACCTGCAAAGGCCTTTAAAAGGTCCCTCAGTCTTGTTTTGAAGGCACCACAATCATGGGGAAGACTTCTGACTTAACAGCTGTCCAAAAGACAATCATTGACACCTTGCACAAGGAGGGCAAGACACAAAAGGTGATTGCTAAAGAAGCTGGCTGTTCGCAGAGCTCTGTGTCCAAGCACATTAACAGACAGGCGAAGGGACGGAAAAAATGTGGTAGAAAAAAGTGTACAAGCTCTAGGGATAACCGCACCCTGCAGAGAATTGTGACGACAAACCCATTCAAAAATGTGGGGGAGATCCACAAAGAGTGGACTGCAGCTGGAGTCAGCGCTTCAAGAACCACCACGAGGAGACTCATGAAAGACATGGGATTCAGGTGTCGCATTCCGTGTGTCAAGCCACTCTTGAACATGAAACAGCGCAAGAAGCGTCTCGCCTGGGCCAAGGACAAAAAGGACTGGACTGATGCTGAGTGGTCCAAAGTTATGTTTTCTGATGAAAGCAAGTTCTGCAATTCCTTTGGAAATCAAGGACCCCGTGTCTGGAGGAAGAGCGGAGAAGCACAGAATCCACGTTGCATGAGGTCCAGTGTAAAGTTTCCACCGTCAGTGATGGTGTGGGGTGCCATGTCATCTGCCGGTGTTGGCCCACTCTGTTTCCTGAGGTCCAGGGTCAATGCAGCCGTCTACCAGGAAGTTTTAGAGCACTTCATGCTTCCTGCTGCTGACCAACTTTATGGGGATGCAGACTTCACCTTTCAACAGGACTTGGCACCTGCACACAGTGCCAAAACCACCAGCACCTGGTTCAAGGACCATGGTATCCCTGTCCTTGATTGGCCAGCAAACTCGCCTGACCTTAACCCCATAGAAAATCTATGGGGTATTGTGAAGCGGAGGATGCAATACGCTAGACCCAACAATGCAGAGGAGCTGAAGACGACTATCAGAGCAACCTGGGCTCTCATAACACCTGAGCAGTGCCACAGACTGATCGAGTCCATGCCACGCCGCATTACTGCAGTTATTGAGGCAAAAGGAGCCCCGACTAAGTATTGAGTGCTATACATGCACATTCTTTTCATGTTCATTCTTTTCAGTTGGCCAACATTAGAGAAACAAACATTTTTTCATTGGCCTTTAGAATATTCTAATTTTCTGAGATACCAGATTTGATGTTTTCATTGGTTGTCACCTATAAATATCAAAATTAAATGTAATAAACATCGGAAATACATTGGTCTGTGTGCATTGCATGAATATAATGTACAAGTTTCACGTTTTGAATGGAATTACTGAAATATTTTCAACCTTTTGATGATATTCTAATTTACTGGCCAGCACCTGTATACATATGTATACATTATATATACACACACACACACATATATATATATATATATATATATATATATATATATATATATATATATATATATATATATAAAATCTCAACACCCACACTGTAAAAAGCTTGCTATGCCCCTGCTTCTTGCTGCAAGGCAACAGCACTAACCTGTGTCACTGTGCAGTCACTTCCACCTCATTTATTAGTTAAAAAATGTTTAAGTCAAATTACTGAAATTAACAACCTTTTGCACCACAGTCAGATTTTTTGAGTTTCACCTGTAAATATGCAGGGTAGCAGCACCTTTCTGCATCAGAGGACTCAAACGCACTTTACATGAAAGTGGATAATTCACCCATTCACACACATTCACATGTAGTGGGTAATGAGGCTGCTGAGCACAGGTGCTCCAACCACCACCAGCAGGAGAGCTGGGTGGCAAGGTGTCTTGCCCAAGGATACAAGTCGGGATCAATCCTACAACCTTCTGATTACTGGGCAACCCGCTCCACCTCCAGAGCTACTGCTGCCCCAAAGACCTTACTAAAAAGATAAAGTCGTCACTACCAATGAAATATGTACTCTTTGACATATTTCTCACAAAAATGCTGAAAAAAATCAGCTTGCAATCAGATCATTATAATGTTTGGGGATAAATGGGATTTGGCCAAAATCAGTATCAGAAGGTCAGATCTGTACAAACATTTAGATAATGGCACTGGTCCTGAGAATGAAATTAGTGTAACTACTTCCTGACGCACTGATGCATGTTTGCGTCATTTTTTCTTCTGTTCAACATTTTCTTCTTCAGTCTTGAAGCATCATGGGGTGATGTTAATCTCCCGCCTGATATTAGGCACAGATCTGGACCGCGCTGCACCGGCGCTGCGACTCATCTCCACAGTTACATTACGCCCAAAGGTTAACGCAAAGGTTTCCAAACGGCTCACTCGACGCCTCACCACGACTTCCTAAAATAACGACCGTGAGAAAAGGAGTTTATCCACACTGAAACCACCATTTCATTTTCATAATTATCACAGAACGCAGATACAAGTAGGTTTCTTCTTGCCGCAAGCTATGAGCTCTGCTTTTTTAGGATGGTGGGGATGATGAAGAGCAAACGAGGAAGTCTATTATCTCTGCAGCTCTTTTCTTCTTATCAGCATGCCAGAAATAAAAGTGACCTTTAGTCCGACCACGCGTTCATAGCAGGCACCACAGTCGAGCCATTGGGGACTTCAGTTAGAGCCCCCTCTATCCTCGCAGGCAGACGTGGACAAATTACAGGACGAGAGCATGAACGTGTGTGTGAGAACACATATGCATGCACCTCTGCATCTATATGTTTAAGAGCCTTTCAGGGAAAAGCTCGTGTTTGTGTGTCAGGCCTTCACTACAGATCCTATGTGCTCCAAGAATAGGTGCTATAATAGAGAGCTATAGGCCATGTAATCAAGCTGCCTTGTGAATCACAGACACCATGGTCTACAATCAATGGACTATTTGGACGCACACGCTGTCAAATGCAGCTTGAAATCACTAAAGCGACAGCTCACTGTGCCCTTTCAGCACAGGGGTGGAGTTTTTTTCCTCTGTAAAGCAGGAACAAAAATCAAAAAGGTTGTGAATAAATATGGACGTTTAAATGTAAATTACTGCAGAGTCCAATAAGAGAAATCTGACAGGATCTGTAAACTAAGGTGTCCTTGTGCACACACTGAAGGTAAACAGAATATCTGAGATGTGAATAAACAGGCTTAATCAATAAACTTGTTTCAATAAACATTCATTTTATTGTATAGTATTTTTCCATGGTTTCAGACATTATCTAATGTGGAAGATGCCAAGCCAAGCAATGATGTAGCGCAGGGAAAGAGTCGTGTTCATCCAACTATGTTTGAGTGCAACTGAGGCAAGCCCGTCTAACACTTATTAAACACAAATACATTTTATTGATCATTATTTATAGTCACCACCAGTTATCATAGTAGAACAGCATTCTCAAAGACTTCCTTTTAGTCATTATTAAGGTAGCACCATCGACATATAAATATTGGACAATGGGTTTCCACAGCCTCCAATAACACCTTTTTGAAGAAAAATGGGAGGT